AAAATATTCTTATGCTATCGAAATAGAAATTGAAATCCATATAAATAACGAATATTAAAAACTTTTAAAAACTCATTCAAGTGAAATTTTGATATTAAAAATCTAGTACAAACGCCGTGTAAAATATTGTTTACTTTGTATAAAAATTATATTTACTTTTTAATACATAATTCAATTAAATGCACTTATTCTTCAACAAACGACTAATATAAATATTATAATTACAAAACTATCCACTTGAAAATTTTATCAATCTATTGTTTAATTGTAGTTATTTTGAGTAAGTTTTACATCAACTATGCTACTATAATCCTTCATGAGGGTTTATTGTAGAAATGATACGAAAGATTCTTTCAAAAAAACATTATTAAAAAAGTATAGCAATACAATGAAGACATGAAAAAATATTCTGAATTACTTTAAGATGGAATGTCGAACTATAGTTTTCGTGAGTCGAAGATTTATATACAAAAAACATTACAGATAATTAAAGAAGTTTTGTATACAAACTTGCAATCAACAGAAAAATTTGATAAATAATTTGAGATGTCATATTATCAATTATACAATAAAGTTAAATTAAGAGTGATATTTATATAATATAAAATATATAGTTTATTACACAGTTTTGCTTATAAATTGCATTATCAACGAAAGAACAAATATATTGTCTTGCAAAACAATTGCAACAAGCTCTATCTAGATCTTAAAAATGTTTTAAAATAATTTTGCCTATATTATGTATAATGTAATGGTTCAAAAAAATCTTAAAGAATCGATAATATTTAATAAATTTTGCAGAAAAAAACACTTTTTAGAACATATTTTTAACATTATTAGAACGTTTTACTAATATATTACTAATGTAGTTAGTAATATATTAGTACTAACAAAAATTACTTGAAATATCTTATACCAAAACAAAATTCATATAATTTACAATTAACACGATATAAGAAAATTTTCATACCATATATGGAATTTTTTTTAGATAGTTTTGTTAAAAATGAATTAAGAAAACTAAATGTATAGAAAAATAATTTGTTTTTGTCAAAATTCCCCGAAAACTACTATTTTTTTGTCACACGTATATGACTGACATGGCCTTATAAAAAACTGTTTTCTCAACAAATTGTTGTCTCATATCTCAGGCATATATGTTTGACAATGTACATATAAAAATTCTTAGTGTCAGTCACATATGACTGACATGTCGATTAACTATTTAAAAATTCAGCTTCTGCATAAATTTTTACCATCTCGAATTATTCCCTCAGTAATATATTACGGAAAAAGTAATAAAACACACCTATAATATAAGATCATTAAACCGTAATAAAAATCTGAATTTGCAGCCGACGGCAGTTAATAATGCTTTTGCATAATCACAGCAAGAAGTTGCAGTTTGCAGCCAGAGGGACAACTAAATACGAGTTTCGCGAAAGAAAAAAAATATTGAAAAACTTTCTAAAAGTCACATTAAACTTTATTTTATTTCCATAGTAAAATTTACGATTCATTTAATGTCACTAACTGCAAGAAACGAAATATTTGATACGTGTTATATGTAATGCAAGTTTTGATCATTGAATGCAGAAGCAAATTAGATGTTTGTTGAATACTAAGTAAGAAAAATCTAAAGCTGACATTAGTATTGCCAAAAAGCATTTAATAGATCATAAAGATTTAAAATAAAATTATGGCAACTTTATTGAAGAAAATTTTAATTTTAGGTGGAAAATTCCAAGATATATTGTTTTCCTTAATTGTACTTAAAATAATAATTAAAGACTACAATATTAAATATATATATATATTTTATGATATGACCATAAATAAATCACAAGAATAGACATTTTTTTTCTAGAATAAATTTGCAAAATCACTCTCTTGTCCGTGGACAATTGTATGTTGCCCTTTTAAAGGTTGGGAAAGGAAGAAAATTATTTATTTATACATATACAGGTATAATTAAAAATTATATATATTCCTTGGCTATTAAAATAAATTAAGTGAACTTAATAAATATTTATTTATATTATAAAATAAATATTTGAATGACTGAATATTTCTACCAAACCGTCTCTGTTTGACAAAACTTTTCAACTTTTCAACAAGTAAACCTTGTCCAGCAGTCTTGCAAGTTGTTTAGAAAATAATATACTCTCTAATAATAATTTATTGGAATTCTGCTGATAACTTTACTGTCGGCTAAGAATTTATAAAATAATTTTTGAGACGAACATACAGAAGATTGCATTCGAATGTGCAAAATTAAACTCGTATTCACGTGAGAGGTGAAAAAAAAATTATATTGAAGCAGAAACATGAATTTATAATGATGCAGAAATATGTATTTATAGCAACCCCAATGGTTCTCTGCTTTCTATGTGATAAATTTATCATTACATTTTTGTAATACTGATAATTTTTTACTGGTGCAATAATGAGGGACAAGGGCTAGATTTTTACTAAGAAACATATTGCTATATATATATATATATATATATATATATATATATATATATTTCCAGTTGAAAGCCAATGTCACTACTGCTTGACATCAGACTATCCAAAACCACTGACTTTTAGCCCATAGCCTTATTCACAAAAAAACCCATAGTGAAAAAATTGATAAAAATTTATCAAGTATAAAATTTTAACCAGGAGAAAGTCATTTATTCTCTAGAATGTATTTCATCAAATCAACATACATAATTTCATACCCACTACCTACAACAATTAAGTGACACTCGAATTTCATGTTTCATTTAAATATGTCAACACAATGCACTTTTACAATTCATCAAAAATAAAGAATGTAGTAAAATTATCGGTCCATTAAATCTTGAAAGTTTTGATTTGGTAACGAGTTTAAAAACAGGTGTATATTAAAATGCATACTTATGTTAGATAAATTGAATAAGGTGTAAATTTTGATGTACATACTCGTATATCTGATCTAAGGATTGATATAGGTTGTTAAAAATCAAAAATCGAAAAAATCTAAAAATCAATCAAAAGTTATATAGGCTTTGTATTAAAAATATTGTTAGAATGTGACTTGTAAATGATATTACATAAAATTGAAGTAATAAACACATAACAGTTAGAAAAAGAAAAAGAGCAGTATTTAAATATACATTTTTTCGAAAATAATTTTTATATGTTTTTACAAAAATAATAAAATAAATTATTAAATTTAGAAATTCAGAATAATTGTTGTAAAAATTGGGATTGAAAATGTTGAAGATATATATTTATTGTCTCTTTGAACTCAATTATTAGAATAAAACAAGGCTAATTTTCGGTAAACTTTAAACTTTTTTGAACTTGGCCTTTGTTAAATCTTTCACTACTTATTTACTGCACAATATTTATAACGAAGTTCGTTTTTGAAAAAATAATTCGAGTATAAATTGGTTTCAAAATTTAGTAACCAGGATATGGAAAAAGTTTGATCCCTAGTTAGAATTAAGAAGTTGCTAGTTTGAAAGAATTTCCGATACATATTTTGGACCAAAGTTCTCAGAAAATGCAATTTTCTATAGTAAATACAGATTTGGCTTATGATTTCGGTGTTCAATTTTCACTTCTACTAAATTAATTTAAACACTGTTTTTTCGCTAACTAGATTATTATCTACAGGGGAATCTCCTAAGTGGAGGAGACCTCTAAATGATATTTCAATGGATCACATGGGCTCATAGAAATTTGTACTTATATTTGTCTATAATGAACAAATAAATAAAAAATTAAATTTAAAATCACTTGACTTCCTTATATCAAATTGTTTAAAACCCAGACACCATAAATATCAAGCAAGAAATATAAATCTTAATTATTTTCAAAACTGAATCATATATTTCAATTTTCCACTAGATATTGTGTACTTATCAGGCATAGACATATTCCCAGTATACGAAATGATCTGTTATCTTCTATATACATGTATATATAAAAATAAGTCGGGTTTTCCTTCCTGACGAAATAACTCCAGAACGCACGAACCGATTTCGACAATTTTGCATTCGTTGAAAAGGTCTCGGGCTCAGCAAGGTTTATAGCTAAGAAAATTAGTAGTGCATGGCATCGTGCCCTAATGCAAATTGCTGGAACTTCACGCACCGTAATTAAAAATTCGAGTAATAAAAATAATCAATAATTGTTTTAAATAATTGCAAATAGATTATCTTCTATATATATAGAAATAAATCAGGTTTTCCTTTCTGACGAAATAACTCCAGACCGCACGAACCGATTTCGACAATTTTGCATTCTTTGGAAAGGTCTCGGGCTTCGCAAGGTTTATAGCTGAGAAAATTAGTTGTACATGGTATCGTGCTTTAATGCAAGCTACTGGAACTTTACGCACCGTAATTAAAAATTCGAGTAATTACATTAGTGATAATTATCAGAATTATGCTTGGTTAAGTCAAAGAGCAATTCTTGCCGCAAAGAAAAATGATGTACACGCACTGAATTTCACCATTCAATCAAAAATTGCTGGCGATTTGGTGGCATACCAATGATTCCGACTGGTCTTCCGTTTGACTTCAAACGATTGCATTTTCCAGTTCGCCGTGCGTTCGCAATAGCAAGGCCAATCGCTTGGTGTTTGCGGGATAAATTTCAAATAGATTATTTAGAAAATCATTGTTTTTTATATGGGCAGTTATATGTTGCCTGTTCACTAGTTGGAAATCAATCCGCTTTGTTTGTGTTAATGTCAGACCAAAAAAAAAAATGTGGTTTAGCAAAGAGCACTTCAATAAAACGGATAATTTGCGGATTCACTTTTATTTACTTTGAGAAGTTCAACTAAAAAACACTTCATTTTTGTAATCGAAAGAAATTCATTACTGTTGTATAATAAAATCACATTTTTCCTTTTCAAATATAAAACAAACAAAAAATTGTGGCGAAACGGAGTTCGTCGGGTTTGCTAGTATTATATATGATTGAAAAAAAATGAAATAAAATAAATAAGTTTGACTTACATCCATGTTCCATCTGGAACCCTGGTTCCATTCCTTTTGGCAGTGCCATTTCTGGCAGCCGTGCAGAAATGGCAGAGTAAAACTGCTTGCAGAAGTATCAGGAGGTAGCAAAGCGAGGACGATGCCATCGCCATGCGAGGCCTGGAAAATAAAAAAAAAATGTTATACATTACTTGGACCTACAAATTACAATTATAGAATTATTATGTTTCAATATAATTATATTACAATATGGTTAAGCCTTGAAGCAGATGCAGAGGCTAATTAGAGTACGATCAGAAGTTTTACACATAAAACCTGACTTCACGTATGTGTTATCAAAGAGACGTCAGAAATTTGCACTTATGATAAAATTGTTATTTCACGTTTGTGCGTTTTGAAGGTTAGGTTTTATATGTACAGCGCCTTTTGGCAGTTTGTTGCTACCAACTCATACGAACATAGACTCGTAACATACTACAATTTGGTTTTGCCTTAAAGCAGGTTTAAAGACTAATTAGGGTGTTTTCAGGCGTTTAATACGTAAAACCTAACTTCATGTATATGCTATCAAAGAGACATCACAAAGTTGCACTTATAATAAATTTCTATTTTGTCGTTTGTGCGTTTTGGATGTTAGATTTTATGTGCACAGCTCCTGATCGTATAGCAAATACATAGGAGTATTTGTTACTACCAACTCATACAAAGATAGACCCGTAGCATAGCATTAGCATAACATTTCTATTTTACTCGAGAATGTTACCTTCAATTTAAACAAGAAATTTTAAAGATTGAGCTTTCAATTGAGAGTGTTCCAATATATAATAAGTGGAAATAAAAATAAAAGAGCATATAAATTGATATTTAGCAAGCAAATATTATTATTAAAGACCAACTTCGCTGAAAGCAAATTACGAAGCTTTCAAACAATTTGCAACATTTTCAGGCAATCTACAGTATCTTTATTTAATTTCCAATATTTCAAGACCACCTGTAACAAAAAATTCAGAATAATTTGAGACATATTGCAATTTTTAGACTGGATTGTCTAAAACAAATTTTATACAAATTGTTAGACAATCTATAATAATTTCAGACAATTCATAATATTTATTGATAATTTACAACATTTTAAGAGAATCATAATAAAACATTTTCAGACAGCCTATAACACTGTTTTTAGATCCTATACAACATTTTCAGACTTTTCACAATATTTTCAGAAAAGCTACATTTTCGGTCAATTTATGAATTGTAGACTTTACACAATATTTTCAGACACTATATAACATTTTCAGGCAAAATTCAAGAAATGTGAACAAGTTGATTGCAATTTACAAAATTTTCTAACAATTTAAAACATTTTCAGGCAATCTACAGCATCTCTAAATAATTTCTAACATTTCAAGACAGTCTAAAATCAAAATATTTTGAGACATTTACGATATTTTCAGACAATCTATAATCATTCCAAACAATCCATAATATTTATTGATAATTTACAACATTGTCAGAGAATCATAATATTACATTTTCAGACAGTATTTATTAGCACTTCTTTTAGATTTCATATGACATTTTCAGACATTTCACAATATTTTCAGAAAAGCTGTAACACTTTCAGTCAACCTACAACTTTTAGACTTTACACAATATTTTCAGACAATATATAAAATTTTCAGGCAAACTGCAAGAATTTCGAACAATTTACAATTCTTTCAGACTCTATACAACATTTTTAGATACAATAAAACATTTTTAAAAAATTCATTACATTTTCGGACAAATTATAGCTTTTTAAACAAATTTAAATATTTTCGCACAATTAACATTTTCAGGCACTATTAAATACTTCTAGACAATTTACAATATTTTTAGACAATTTATAACATTTGCAGACAATATACAGCATTTTAAGTTAATTCACAACAATTTCAGACACTATAAACCATTTTCATACTTAATATTATTTTTCAGACAATATTATAAGTTAGATTTGATCAAAGCCAAAAAAGTGTATAAAATTTTTTTTTTCAAATAAATTAAATTATGGCTTGACCGATTTAAAATATAAGTCAAATATTTTTAGTAATTATAATTTACATCTGATATATTTAGAAAAAAAAAATCAAATCTGATTAGGATGTTGTGAAAAGTGGATATGAAACATATTAATTTGATATAAATTGAATATCATTTGATAATTTTATAGATCAATCAATTAAATGCTAATAAATTTTCTAGAAGTAAATGTTTGTGACTCGATTTATTTGATGCAAAACTCTGATGAAGTAATTTTGGAAAAAGTTGATATACAATTAAGTTAATTTAAATTCTTATAAAACCAATGCATGTCAATTGTCAAACGACCAGAAAACCTGATAAATATTTTTAAATTATATAAAAAGCTTGAACTATTTATTACCATTTATGTTAATCAAATCAATTTAGCAGTAATCAATTATAAATTGAATTAGATTTCCCTTAATAGTTAAAAAAATTAAGTAAAATTAAAAATTTGTAACAGTTAATTTCGAAAAGAACGATCACTATAAAAATGTGAAACTTATTAATTTATTAAAAATGTATAATATTATTTGATAATCGATTAAAGCTAATAATTTTATAGAAGTAAATATATGGAAATGAAACAACAAATCTTAGCACAAAAATATATGTGACTCGATTTATTTGAAGAAGTAATTTTGAAAAAAAAATATGAAAAACTATGTCATAAATTAAATTCCTATAAAACCAATGCATGTCGATTGTCAAAAGTTCAGAAAACCTCATAAATATTTTTAAGTTATAATGTAAAGCTAAGTTATTACAATTTATGTTAATCAAATCAATTAACCAGTAATCAATTATAAATTTAATTAGATTTCACTCGATAGTTCTCCATCAAATGCTCATAAAATTTCTAAAAGCAAATATATGGAAGGAAATGGATCAACAAATCTAACTTTCGATTTATCTGATACAGAACTATAAAAAAGTCTTTAAAATTTCTGTCAATCCTTTGAAGTCTTTATTAAGGAAGTTTCATATAACATCCATCACAAAGATCTATACTAAATCATTCTCGAATTCTATTTATAAATATTTGTGAGATCAAAGTTATGCTACTCTGTTTGATGGACACATAAATGCAATAAAATCGGTTACTTTTATCTTATTTAATTAAAAGATCTTCATTAATGATTTATGTATCGTATTTTATTACTCGTGTATTGAAAAAACATAATAATTCGATTGCTTTGATTCAGATATAAAAGAGACGTTATTTGGTAGTAAAAAGAATTTAAAACATTGTGCATGTCTCTTTGATATATGAAACACAAAAATGAATTAATATGGCTTGTTTAGTATACAATTTGTATCAACATATTGACGAACATTTTTGATTTTTATCAATTTTTTAATTTTATCCCTAGAAGTCCAATTTGCTCTTCAGTAAATTTTTTATACAACTATTACCATTACTTTTTTCCAATTTCCGGCAATAATCGATCGATTCATTCAGGTAATAATGCTTCTGCTGTTGTGTCTTGATTTTTTTTAATTTTGTTATTTTTTATGATTTATCGACAGCATGACATCGAAGAAGAAATGAAGAATCTCATTTCATGGTCCGAGAGTTGTAATCAAGTAATAAAAAAAATATCTATATGAAGATAAAATGAGCTGCTACATCCCGTAATAATGATTTCCTTTATGTAATAAAAATACTTGAAACGTTAATTTTCATTTGTTTTTGTATGGAATGGACTTAACAGTTTAAGTCAGGTGTATTTGAAATATTTGTACCATAAATGTTGCTATGCTATAAGAACCAGTAAAATTGTTGAAATATTACTTGAAAAAAAATCAGTAATTATGAAGATATAGTGGGTATCCCAGAGCTCAACGTCATGCTATTTTTAAGTTTTATTTTTTTTACCAATTTTTTTTTTTTGTCATGAAACTATCAAGTATTTTACTATTTCACAATACTAATTAAATGCACCAACTTTTGATGGAACTTGCCAACACATGTTAGTACATTTTTTATAAAAGAGCGAATTTCTGAGTCTGAGTGAAAGCTTTAAATTCACATAGTTTAACAAAACTTATTAGTTTTCAGAAAACTTGAGGAAATTGTGTCATTAATTTTAATTGTGGTACTAGAAATTTTATTTTCGGCTACGAACTTGAAGTTTGAATAAACAAAATTAATAAATGACCACAATTTCATCAAAGCTCAAGGTGTACATAAAAGCTCATAATTTTCAAATTACATGTGATATATTTATTATATTTTTTTCATGATAGTTACGATCAATACCATCACCTCATTTTGGATTTACGTTGAGTTCTGGAAATAACCTTGTATACAAATTGTCGAAATCATGATCGTGAAGGTTACCCAGTTCTGAGCCTTTTCAGTTATGATAAATTAAATTAATTAAATAATAAAATTAGTAAAGGTTTTCATATGCTTTACAAAATTCATTTTGTTTAAATTATAGTATATATAATAAAAATGTTAATTCGTTTTCAAGAGTTCATCATAACTATTTTAATCAGTTTTGAAGAGCTTCATTTTAAATTTTTTTAGTTAAATTTTTACGGGTTCAGAGATCATGGTCGTACTAAAACATACTAAAATTTTACAACTCTACGACAAGTGGTTGAATTTCAAAAATTCATCAAAGTTTAAAAATATGACAAAATTTATGTTCATATGAACCGATTTCACAATTCGAAATCCAGCAAAAATGCTTTTTTATAACCGTTTTTCGCAAAAATTTGGTTATCTCAAGTTCATGGATTTTTGCATTGTTCACGGAAATTAATTTAAAATTATCTAAATAGATTCTTTATATTTGTGTCATCTAACTAGCAGTATACAAAACTTTCGTATTGAGTTACCAGTAAAATGTTTAATAATATCAAAGGCATAGTACATAATTTACTTAATCGAGTCTGTATTATGTTAAAGCATATGCTATAACATTTT